CATTGAGCAAATCCAAATGGCTGCAGACTCTGTGCAGCGGCAGATCCCACTCGCAGAGATCGTGATACTGGGCGATTTTAACGCTCATCATACCGAATGGCTTGGTTCTTGGAAGACCGATCTGACGCGGGGAGATCTATTCACGCCTTCGCTCTTGCACAGGACTTGACGCCTTACGCCTACGCATATCCCAAATATCGAGAATCATGAACCTTCACGGTTGGATCTTTTGTTAACCGAGAAGCTTGAACGTCTTCCTTCGGGGACGCGTACTTTCTAGTCTCTTGCCTAATCTATTCAAGGTAATTTCTGCACGCCTTCATTTCCACCCTTGCACAAAGATAACTCCTCATTAGCCCATGATGCAAAAGAAAAAGCCAATCTCCTGGGTAACTTTTTTGCATCCAACTCGACTTTGGATGATCGGGGGCTGAAACCACCCACCATTCCGCGGTGCAAGAGCTCTATGCCTGATATCCGACCAAAGCTCAGTGCGTCTAGCAGTACTCTCCCTCGATATCCACAAGTCGCAGTGTGCTCCAGAGTTGGCACCGGTCTTAACGCGCCTATTCTGGCTCTCTTACTCATCTGGCGTCGTCCTAACCTCATGGAAGACTGCTTTAGTGAATCCGATCCCAAAAAAAAGGTGACCGCTCAAACCCGTCCAACTACAGGCCGATTGCTATAACCCCTTTGCTTTCAAAGATAATGGAGTCTATTATCAACCGCCAGCTCCTTCGGTACCTAGAGAATCGCCAGTTGCTTAGTGACCATCAATACGGATTTCGTAGTGGTCGAAAGGCAATTGAAACAAAGGGGGAGGCCCTGCCAATAAGTTTGGACATAGCGAAAGCCTTCGATCGGGTGTGGCAGAAAGCTCTTCTATCAAAACTTCCCTCGTATGGGCTTACCGAGAAATTATGTACATGGGTCACTAGTTTTTTGGCAAACAAAAGCATTAAGGTTTTAATCTACAGTGAATGCTCGGACCTACTGTCTATAAATGGTGGTGTTACCCAAGGAAGTGTGCTATCACCTACACTTTTTCTTCTGCATATTAATGACATGCTGCAAATTGGCGGTATTCATTGTTATGCGGATGACAGCATGAAGGACTCCGCCTATAACGGTCGTGCTTATATTTCTCGGGAAAGCGTCATTGAGAGCCGGAATCAACTTGTGTCTGATATTGAATCTTCGTTAGAAGAAGTCTCTAACTGGGATCGACTTAATTTGGTCCACTTCAACCCTACTGTAACAAAGGTTTGCGCGTTCATCGCCAAAAAAGCTCCTTTTATCGTATCACCTCGCTTTCAAAACATTCCGGTAACTGCCTCAGCCAATATTGAGATTCTCGGTGTCAACATATCGAGCGAGGTATAGCTCTACAAGGCGCAGGTTCGGCCCCATATGGAATACTGTTCTCATCTTTGGGCAGGGGCACCCCAATACCAGCTTTTTCCTCTAGACCGCATTCAGCGGCGAGCGACTCGAATCGTCAATTGCCGGGACACTTCAAGTCGGCTTAATCCACAAGCCCTGCGTAGAGATGTAGCTTCATCTTCGATATAAATATTAATCTCATAATTACGCCCACTGAAAAACTCCACGAACGGAAAACAAACTAAACTATTTTTAATGTTTTGTCGTCGTATGGTATCCTTCCAGGTCATACCTAATCTACGAGAAAGGACAGTTGTCTGGACCATGTAATGTTGAAACTTGATTATACCTGCAACTTAGGGGCCGTCCATTAATCACGTGATGTTTTAACCTCCCCTCCCCCATAGTGATACATGGTGAGGTTTAAGACTACCCCCCCCCCCCCCTCCCCATATATCACGTGTATTTTCAGTACTTACAATGAATCTTAATTTTCTAATTGTATTATAGACAATTAAAGAGTACAATAATGTCTAGAGGTAGACAGAAAGATTACAGGACTTGCAGGTTGTTTTTGATTGACAAAAATAATGAAAGGATGCGAAAAACTTTATGAATATTATTATTTAATGAACGTTTGACGAAAAAATAAATTTATTACACTTATTTACGCCGCTTTTCTGTTGAGAATCGCGCGTTTGTCGAAAAAATAAATACACGTGATATGTTATTTCATCCCCCATCCCCCTTGTGATATTTCATGACTTTTTTATGGACCCCTCCCCCCCTTTCGAGCCTCACGTGATTAATGGACAGCCCCTTAGCTTTCGTTACAGTTTTAAACATCTCCATGACTGATCATTACCTGGTAAACTTAATTATTACGCAAGTACACAAACAAGTAACATTACCATGACACAAAACCGTCATCGATTATGAAAAGGCATATGATACACTGATTACTGCAAACGTAACCGCGCTTAACATGTGCAATAACAATCCTCATCTATTTGCGGTAGCGTTGATTGACATGGTTAGTACAGCTATAACAACAAATACAAAAATAACAAACAAACTACGAAATTCTAAAAATTACGTACAAACGCTTTCGAAATTATTGCAAATATAAGCAAAAAGTTAAAACGAGAATATAATAAAAGTAAATAAAAGAATTAAACATCCACGGCAGCTGGTCTACTATAAATAATACAACACATTATAATCCACCTAAAACAAAAATTGAAAAGATATTGAATATAAAAGAATCATCACAAAGTTCCGTTAATTATGTAAATATTTGTTTTCGCTAATATTGGTCAAAATTTAGCAGAAACTATATAAAAATGAGTTGGCCCAGCTCTAAATCCTAATATTGACACTAACTTTTACCCCATTCTTCTTCATTTATTATATACTAGTGGACGCCCGCGACTTCGTCCGCGTGGAAGTCGGTATCCCGTGGGAGTGAGAAGTTTTCCCAGTAAAAAGTACCCTATGTGTTATTCTGATGTATAACCTATATTGCTGTAAAGTTTTATCCAAATCCGTCCAGTAGTTTTTTCGTGAAAGAGTAACAAACATCCATACATCCATACTTACAAACTTTCGCCTTTATAATATTAATAGGATGTTACGGCTTAAGGTGGGTGTGAACATAAACTTAAGATTAGCCGGCTTAACTTAGGTTTATCTTCGAGAGGCAGCTAAAGTTCGAAATCATGTCCCAGAATGGAGCCTGAGGTACGCCCTGACTCGCTAAGATAGGCAAAGAGACCTTTGCAGTTCCATCCCGTCGTAAAAGCTTGACCGATTGCTAATACATCGTCAGGGTAATAAATGGATAAAAGACTGATTAAGTTTGAAAATTTGATTTATTTGAAACTAATAAGAAAAAACTGTAACTAACAAAAAATGAATATAAAAACAGTTCGTATGATTACCTAAATATATAATTACAAATGTTAAATAGAACAAATACAATATATATTTTCCGTAATTCGTTTCTGGGTTTTCCGTAATAAGTAGATAAGACTTGGAAAAGGAATCACGAATATATACTTTTAGATTTACATTTTTCTTATTTAAATTATAATAACTTTATTATTATTAGATTTATATATTTAAATTTATATGATTAAATTATCATGTTCACAACAGATGAATTTTTTAAGAACTGACATTCATAAAGAGCATATTGGATTACTCAATATTTTAAATTACGGAAAGTGAATATTAAAAAGAAAATATTTTTTTGATCAAAAAAATCTTTTTTTTTTATTATTATTGATGAAAGATTGAAGATCAAAGACAAAAAATTTGCATGCGAATACCTAGGACGAAATAAACGATGGTACGGCACACCGTTACTGCGTGAAGCTATAAGGTCGCTGTTAAAGTGCACAACTTAGGATTCGAATGTCGGTAGTTCACGTAACCTGTATTCACGGGACTCGAGTACCTGAGTCCCTGCTAAGTATTCGAGTTAGTCTGACTCGGCACATCTGTAGTTCTGTTTCCGTTTCCGATATTATGTTGCTTCCATTGCATATTTGCATCAATAAATGCCCATAAAGACACTTTTCAAAAGAATTTATGTTGCTTTCTAAAGTACTTCAAGTTCCCAAATCACACTTCGGTTCTTGTTAGTGTGCATGTAATTATTACTTGGATAACATTTGGAATCAATATAATAAGAAAAAAAACATAAACACTGTACACGACTTTTGTAAGCACTTTATTTTCTTTTGGAAAAATGCTTAAAAAATCCAATTGGTCCCTGGCACCCTGAAATGGAATTCGAACACATGACCTCCTCTTTATTATCGTATCATCATTATTTGGCACTTTAAGGTTACAATGAGTTGTATCCATTTAACATGCAAATCGAACAATAAAATACCTATAAAAGTATCTTATATTTAGTTGAAGGATGAAAAGTTCTCCGAGTACGTATCACTGATGCAAGAGCGAGACGCACGCTACACTCTCTACTTCGAGAACCTAGGTCTGCAAATGAAGTTGAAGGAGTTAGATGGCAATTCCTATGACGTCGACAATACTCATGGAGACCCGGTGGTTCTAAGAATTGCTCTTAATCGCTGCAGGTATTCATGAAAAGAGCAAAAAACTGAAATCATGAGATATTTTATTAATACCTACAAATGCCACTAGTATAGTATAAATCTTGAAAATACCTACTGTTATTATAACGACAAACCTAGCGGCTCAACGCTAAACGCAACATTTTTAAGCATAGTAAATCTATTTTACAAAGGACCATGCAATATATAGAATCTGTCTCACGAAAGAAGTTCCGCGGCATAATTCTTTGTTCTATTTCTGTGTAATGAAACAGAAGGCATCGTGATCCGAGGGACATCTTTCGTGAGACGAACTTTAGCAACACTTTGTATTACTTATATATTCATGAGAGGAAAGGGCGTAGATGAGCCCCCTTAAGTATGCCTAAAGTGTTTATATCTTTGCCCCTAACTAAGTATAACACTACTCTTTGGATGAGCCGTATGCTTAGGACGCTATTGGACTCTATCTATCTTTAATCAGCCACTGATCACAGCAATTCGCAACTTTTTGAGTTGCGTCGTGTTCTGATTCTTTTTTTTCGATAAAATTTCCATTTTTATGATGATTATATGTCGCGCTTACTACGCTCTCGTATTATTTACTAGAGAGCAGTTGACTGTGACTCAACGTGAGCTGAAGAAAATGAGAGACGAGTACGCGGATACTGTGCCGCGACGTGATTATGACTGCTTGATGGGGCAGCTCCAGGATCAGACACAGCTCGCGGACTCCATGCGAGAGGAACTGAATGCACTGAAGGATATTCACAAACGAACTCTCAGTAAGTAGGTTCTAGTAAATTCTTTGACAGATAGGACCGGTTTAGTTTGAAGGCCTACTAGGCATATGTAGTTTGTGGCCTACTGTGGCCAAATAAGTAAGTCAGAAACTAAAAACTCGTTAGAATAATAATTTTATACGGGATTGATACCATGTACCTTAAATGGTATAAATCATTGTATAAAATTTTATAAATAAAAAAATATATACTAAATATAAGGTTTTATAATAAAAAAATCTTTAAATATTTAATATATCGGTAAAAATAATACATACTTATTAAAAAAAATATATATAGTAGGTATTCTTTAAAGAGTACTGTATAATTTTGTAGTAACCTATAAATCATTGAAAATATTCAAGTACAAGTCATTATATATACGGATGAAAACCCATTTGTGTCTGTTTTGGTGAAAGCGTATTAAAATAAAATAGTAAGAACTTTAAAATTACTATAATACTTGGGTGGCGTTTATGCTAAACGAAACTACGTTATCATTTTGTTCAAAGAATTTTGCCTAGATTTCAGTTTTTGATGAAGTTTTATGTAAACTTTAAATTTACTTGTGTTTTTGGAAATTAGTCAGTGTACAGGTGTAAATAATGTTTAAATATTTTTCTGTTCTGTCTTAATTTATATGACAGTATTTTGTATTTTCAATTCACTTAATATAATTTCAAACAATGTTGTCTACACCAGTTAACACCAGTTATTGGCTATCATGTAAGCCCTGTATAAATATTCACATATAAAAAAATTTAATTACATGTAAACATAACATAAATAAATACATAAGTATAACTTTTTGTTACATTGACTTCGAAGTTGAACATCAAAGTAATTTTATTCTAATATTTTGTTATTAATATTAAGTCTTTTGTATCGTGCTCCTTGACAGTTAACCATTTCCCTGGGCTTTGTACAGCGGCACCCTAGAAAGACTAGTGATGATTACTCAGCTGATCGACCTTTGGCCGTGCAAATGAATCCCACTATATTATTATGCGTGTTAAGCACTCACGCCTAACTCACTGAACAGAGTTTATTTGAGATAGGTTGATTATTATAGTGATGAATGTGTTGAAATAAAGAAGAGTTTGTATGGAAGTTCGTCATAGTCAAAAATGAAATCATAAAACTAATTCTGATATTCTGATATTTTAGACGATATAATGAATCAATATTATTTACCGTTTTTAGAAATGCTGCACAAACTAACTATACGGCAAAAGCTAGTTTCAAATAATAATAAAATATAATTTGTAGATTCAAAGAAAAGTGTGGAGGAAGAGTTATTTGAAATTCAGGAGCGTTGCAGTGAGCTCGAACGAGCGGGCACCCCTCGCCCCCAGTGGGAGCTGTGCGCAGATTTCATTGGCGGTGGACGAGACAGGTTTATGAAATTCATCCATTTTCCAAGATTATCTTAATATTTTGATATGAGCACAGTGGCGCAACATTTTCGTTTCTATTTAGTTTTTGTTTCGTGTGTTATAATATCACATTATATATATTCTAAAATATTTAAATACAATGATATCATTTCACTTAATTATTTACTTTATTGCACTAAGTGTAGAAATGAAAATTTACGAGGTAGTATTTTAAAAAAAAGAATGCACTAAAAAGCACCTCACTAAATGGTGACTCTAGCAAGAGTTGATTTTTGCAGGAAACGAATGGACCAGCCATTTCCTTTCTTATAACTAAAAACTGAATTTGCAAAGTTCGAAAGATATAAAAAAAAAAATACGAAAAAGTACAAATAGAATATGAGTTTTGAAAATTAATTTACTTTTATACATGAAAGAAAACTAAAAGGGTTGTCATGGAGAGCTCAAGATAGTTTTCAAGCCAATCTGATTCTGAGGGAACAATAGATGCCCAGAACTGTATATACAGACATATGAATCTGGAGTCCAGATACATGTACTAGATTTAGTTCGGTAACCAGCGCCTGTTGGGTATTTTTTATATAGACAACAACCCCGTCATTTGAGTTTATATGATTTGATGTGCAGTGCACATTCAGTTAAGATTAAAATGTCAGGATTACAAGTTAGCTGCGACAAATACAATTGTAAATCATTAAAATTAACATAAATGCTTCTCATATTTTGTGTAATAATACAAAAATTAAAGCTACAAACTTAAAAAAGTAGGTAGCGCATCAATATTGCATATTATTGATTTTGCAATCTCTGTGTTGTCCAATCCCTTTAACACATTAGCGTTAATTGCATTAATAAGCGACTATAGTCTGATTTTGATTTGGGTTCAGTGATATGTGTTTATGTCTCGTTGGATTTTTTATTTATTAGACCTCATTAGACCTAAGTTGTTTTATTTATCTTTCTAATGAAAATGCTAAACAGTTCCACGGAAGTTCGAATTTTACAAAAAAAATACTTGAAATATTTCAGACACAAACTTCATTTAGAGGTTTTCTAACCACGAATAAGTTCTTATGTTTAAATTAACCGTTATAAATAATTTTCTAACTCTATAGTAAACTGAAAAGTATAATTTAAATCTGATCACTTCCTATCACACAGGCCACAAGCAATTTTTTTTTTTGCGATATAGTGGCATCAGGTGCATTTCTTAAATATAAAGACTGTTATAATTTATTGACTCGTTATTTTTGTTTATTGGTCAGATGGTGGCAACTGGCGAGTGGTTTATCATCCCGAGACATTCTCAGAGTGTTGTTAAAAGAGTTAGGACCGGCCGCTGAAAGCGAACAGCTGGAACATTTTGAAGGGCTCGTGAGTGCAGTGCCGTACAATCCTATATTTTAATTAATCAAGATATTTTTTATGTAGATCTCTTTTTAGTTGATTCCTCTACGTCCATTTTTATCATGTGTCAGGGTACAGACCCCGTCATTCCGCCTTATCTTCGTTATGAAGGCAAGGTGCGTAATCTGCGGCTATCGCGACGTGAGGTGAGCGTCATCATCAACGACATCTGGCTGGGCAAGCTTCAACACGGTCGGGACGTTTCCATGCAAGACTATGTTACCAAATATTTTGAAGATCGGTGAGTATTGAATAATGAGGAATGAAAAAATCTACCGAAATAATTTGATAGATAGATAAATTCTTTATTTGTATCATGCACACACAATATTTTACAAATTTAACTAAAACAAGACAATCAAACAGTATGTGTAACAAGATAATCAAACTTTACTAATGTTTTACATATATCTGTCAATCTTTGACCGGAAATTATGATTTCAAAATGGACTTTCATTTGTTTGCCCTTTTCCCAATTATTTATTTGGTGTCGGCCAAGTCAATATATTTTTGTTCCATCCTTTTCGGTCACCAGTCATCTCAACATTTACTCTTTTCTTGCACATAATCTATCCATCTTCTCTTCCGTCTTCCTCTCGTTACATCCGTCATTCATTCATGATCCTGACCATTTTCTTCGTTTACGCTTAACAATAAATAATTGGAATTTGCTGTTCAAATGAAAAGTATTAAAAATTAAATTGAAGAGCTAAAATTAAACAAAAACGTATGAAAAATGATAACTTTTCAAAATACATAGCAACATCTAGGTCTAGTTATAGCAGTATTATTTTTAAATACTACCACATTGAATTTGAAAGATGTTCGATTTAGATATCAACAGCCTTCAGTCCGAGCAGAGTGGGCGTATAATTTGTGCGCCGGCGCAGAACAGATGTTAGACGAGCCGCAGGTGAAATTGTTCTGGGGCGTGCTACACGGTCACCTCAGCGAGGATATTTACTGCAGCCATCGACAGCAATGGTGCACACTCAGGGAGCTTCTCTACAAACACAGCAAGGATAAGGAGGTTGTAGAACAAATATTCATGAAGTGAAACTAAATATGTTTGTTTCAAGGTTGCCATCTCTAAGGATTAAGCCGGATAGGATTAATATTATCAATCAATGAAGGAAAGAAAGAAAATTAGGATTGAATTAGACTCACCTTCACTACTATTATTAACGACGAACGAATGATAAAACATGATGATTATACATTTGATAGCAAGACGGACGACCAAAGTGATTTAATCCAAAGTAATCTACCTAACGATATGTCAAAGTAATAAAATGAAACGAAATATCGTCATCGTATATTTTCATTTCATTTCTTCATTTGCTACAAACATGGTTAATAATAATAAGACAACATAGTTATTCTATTTTAACATCTTGATACTGAATATGAAGGTTAATATTTCTATGATTATTAAATTGAACATATTTAGTTTTAGTCAGATTTATTTTTAAATTATGCATGTCAAGACAATTAATTAAATTGTGAATAGCATTGATGTAAATTTCATTTTCAATAATTGTACAATTTTTGTTATTAGATGTCTCTATAATAGATATGTCATCTGCAAATAAATACTTTTATGGTTAGTTACATACGCAATGTCATTAATATACAATAAGAACAGAAGTGGTTCCAGTACACTGGGTACGCCATATTTCGTGTTGAAAATGACATTACTTCATTATCTTTGTTTATGAAGATATGACTTGAACCATTCTAAAGCAGGTCCTCTGATACCAATGGACTCAAGCGCGGTCAAAAGCTTTCGAAAAAATCAATGAAATCAATGAAAAGAAAAAAAAAACAACCAATAGTTAAGTGTTTTTATTAATACTTGTTACTAACGTATCTACGAGTTTATATATAGCTAGTGTTGTGGATTTATTTTGTTGAAAACCATACTGTTCAGTACTTATAATATTATATTTTCAACAAAAATCAATTAGTTATTTGTACATTAGTCTTACATTAGTCATTAGTTTTGACAGTATCGATATTAGTGCAATAGGACGAAAGCTATTCATATCATTACGTTGGCGCGAAACTGATAATATGTCAAAGTGACAGTGACAGCCAACTGATAGATAGAAACGCCCGTAGTGAAAACATGAATTTAGGACATCAGGATAGAATATTATATATTAGCTAAGAGAACACACTGATGACTTCTTGCAGAAGGCAGATCATTTATGTAGAGCAAGAAAAGCAATGGCCCCAGAATACTACCTTGGGGTACACCGTATCTGTTGAATTTAGATCCGATACATAGCATGTTAAACAATTACTTTGGTTGAGTTGGGTTATCTCTACGTATTGCCTACGATCCTTAAGATAACTCTGTAGCCATTTTAATGCTAAACTTCTAATGCCATATTTCTTACATTTATAAAATATAGTCTTATGCTCTACGAAATCAAACGAAATCAAAGTCGTGGCCTAAAAAGTCACCGAAACAGGTATACGTTTATCTATATAATCAAGAACAACACAAGTCAAATTGAAAGCGGTTAAGGTAGTCGATTTTCCGTTTTGGAAGCCATTCTGTTCCTTTTTTATAAATTTATACTTTTTAAAAAAATCAGCAAGCTAATATATATTATATTACTAGCTGTGCCCGCGACTTTGTCTGCGTGGGAAAGTATATCAGGAGAATTGTTTCTTTCCTATAGTTGTGATCGAATCGAGTAGGGTCGATCGATGATTGATAATTGGTGGGTGCTAACGACTACTGATGCAGCCGAGACCAACGGCTTAACATGCATTCCGAAGCACGGAGGATAATAATGTTTTTGTCATCCACCCTATGAATTTCCCATACTATAGTTTATTTTTCAATATGTTTTCTCACTTCACTCTACTCTTGTGTCTGACCATTTTTATCGTACATTAGGTAGAGTCTGGCAAGCGAAACGTGTCACAAGAAAAGGGCGGCAATTTCAAAAATTCTTAAGCAGTAAACACTGAATGTAGTACTGCAAAATAATTTTGATACTTTTATTAATTATATTTAATCTTAACATTTAGATATCAATTAAAATTATTTGTTTTGGAACATTTGACTAAAGCGTGACTGTTCTTAATTGTACAGTTAACAGCATATCAGTAGGCCTATTCACTAACTCAACTGACAACCAAGAATCGTCATCACCGTAAAAAATAGACACTTTGATTGTGTCAAAATCACTATTTCGTATTCTCTATCAATGATGAGCAATTTCGAAATGTCAATATCGGCATTCTCCACTGGACTCCATTTTGACACTTGATTTCGTATCGATAAACTGTATTAAAGTAACATTGTTGCAAAGCATATTTGAAGTCGTCGCATAGTACCTCTTAAGCCATTTGTTGTTAAATTAAAGCGAAAAAAAATACGTATCCAATATTTTTCTATTATCTGACTGACGGACTAAATCGAATCTTTTTTTTAACCCATTCGTTATACCTATTGGCTAACAGCACTTATAATATAAAAATTCATATTTGTCATTAATTAAAAGGGTGTTTTTTGCAACGACTTCTTTGTTTTTTGTAATGAATATGGGCGACTCTGGCCACATTTTTTTAATAAATGTGATGTTAGCCAATTTTGATTTCTGGCCCTTATATTTATAATGTGTTCATAACACATACATGTCTCCTAAGGGATTTTCATCACAACCTTTTGCTCTGATCCAGAACCACTATCTATCAAATTAAATTAGTCAATATAAACACCAGATTACAATAAAAAAAACATTTATTTTTGTTACAATTAAGTGCCATGGATAAATTACATAATACAGGTGTCACAAAATCATCATGTTAATCACAATAGAAAATTTAAGATAAGATTTTGACTATGAATCAGACTAAAAATACTTTAGTCTGATTCATAGTCAAAATCTGTTTCTAAATATTCTACACCTGATAACAATGACAAGGAATCATCAGAGTCACTCTCTTCACTACTGTCTGCACCAACAGATATAATAAATTTTTCAAGTTCGTTTTCAACAATGCCATCTTTT